AAAGTACTGAGCCATAAACACTCTGAATTCTTTGTAATTGAATGCAAGATCTGCTTGCTCGAAGGCCACCCCCACTTCCTCTCATATCCGATGCCGTGCCTTTGTCAACCTCCACCAACGGCCACCAGTCAGCCTGTGTCCCCTTGACCACCTCCACAGCCCCCCTGCCTCCGTCTACCACTACAGTCGCTCGCCTCATCTTCTTGCTTCTTCCCTTCCTTCCATCAGGATCTGGTACAGCATCTCCATTCTCCACCTCTGGCCGCCTCCTCTATTCTCCCCTCTGACAATGGTTGCTTCTTCCTCCACCTTTGAGTTATTAGGTGGGGATAACGCTCAGATGGCAGCCTGTGGCACTGACTGCAACCAGCAAGATCTCAAGTACATCCGACATCATGAACTGTTTCTTCCTCCTCCCTGTCTTCGGCTCGGGTGGCAACAGCCCATAGCCTCTGCCGCCAGCCAGCTCCCACCACCTCTTCTGCTTCCACCGGGGATTCACGGTGAAGCCACTCGACCACATGTGTGATTCCATTTCTCTGGCAGCCAAATATGATTTGGTTTTGGGTGGTGACCAATATGTTATCTGTGGATTCTTTAGCAACCAAACAGAAAGTTGAATTGTAAGCCCAATTCTATTTCAACTTGGAAACGCATTGAGCCTCCATTTTTACAAACTCAATTCAACTGTGGTAGCAAACCCAAGCAGACATTTAGTAGAAATAATTCAATATCCATTTCTACCCCAATAAGAAGAAAAATTGAATTAAATTTCCTCCAAAAGTCCAAATACAAAACTACAGTTCTTGTTATCCTTCGGAATTTACATACCATGCCCCTAAGATATTTGGATCAAGTTATTACTGCCTTTGGTTTTCTATGTCTCTAAAAACATCTAGCGGGTCTTATTAATGTTCCTTTGTATGAGCAGTTGAACACATTTGGACTTGTTCCTGAAATGCTTTCTACTCTCTCAGGTGGTACTAGAGCAGCACCCACCTTCCTGTGCTCAGCATTCGTCGCATGCCCAATTTCCATGACAAAGGGGGCTCATGATGGAACTTACTACCGTGTGGTCAAGTTCCATCTTGATTACAGTATGTAAGAAGGGTGTAGACCATAGGATTGCATAATGTAGTGCATATAGATTTTTTTTCAAAAGTCAAAGTTTGATCAAGTTTATAGAGAAAACTATCTATATCTGCAGTACCAAATATATAAAATATGTAACTATATCTTATGGTGAATGTAATGATATATGTTTGGCATTCTAGATGTAAATATTTTTTCTCCATAAACTTGGTCAAAGTTTGTGAGGTTTGACCTTTCAAAAAATCTATATGCACTCAATATGGACTGCCCGAAAACACAAAGTTGTAGAAAAGAACTAGCATATAAGTTCAATGGTAGTGCAAAACCAAGTCAAATATTATTCAGACTAATGCTGCAGATAAATTGCCCTCACATGAAGATGGAGGGAAATTACGAGCTCATACCTGCTCTAGAGAGAGATTCAACTCTTTTGCGATTACAAGACAATCTTTGAAAGGAATTCTCCCCTCCTCACTGATTTTTCTAATACGCTTTTGTAACTCCCGCCGTTGTTCAATAGTCATTACTCTACGAGAACTCCACGAACGAGGATGAGAAACCTGCATGAAACATGGTACTATATAAAGCTCGATGAGGTAGAACTGCCAATGCCAGAAAATATTGTTTCCAGATTATATAAAAAAAATGGCAATCAACAAAATGCTTGCAGCTGGCAACATTTATGATAAAAAAGAGCATATTAGCAAGGAACTAAAAAGCACATATCAGTATGACAATATCGAGATCCTGGAAAGCAGGTTTTAAAAGTGCCGACACTGTTGACTAGATTTGGGCAGCAGCAATGCAACACCAAATCATGAATATTGATGGAGCAGTTAACAGCAGTAGCAGCCAAATACGATACTGAGATATACTCAGAAGGTAAAATTGGAAGGCCGCGAATTTATAAAACAGATCAGCATTGGACGTTCAAATGAACAGGAACATCTTAGCTGAAAGGATCTTACAGGCAAAACCATTTACCACAACCAGAAAGGACAATGAAATGCAAGATGTGTAGAGAATGAAACATAAGTTAGTGTAAACAGAACTATACAGTTAAGTCAATGATGCAGCAGTCAAATTTTGACAAATATATATACACATTATTTTCAAAGTACATAACGGGATAAGAAAGAAAATGAGCATTTAAAGATGGTAACAGGTAAATCAACAGTAAAATATTACTCCCTCCGATCCATAATAAGTGTCGCGGTTTTAGTTCAAATTTGAACTAAAATAACACTAATTATAGATCGGAGGGAGTACTATTTTGAGATAATACAGCAACAATGCACAGCAATGATAACCAACCTCAGGTACAGCACAGCCAGGGAAGGCACTTAACGGCTCAGTCAAGCCAGCTGTCAGATAGCAGTACTCTAATGTTTCCCAGTAAGCATCAACAAACTCCTGCTTTGAAAGCACAAAATCATGCCGAATTTTTGGACGATGATTCAAATTAACATGTGATGATGGAAGAATTCTTCGTATTGGTTCTTCAATATAAGGCCTGAGCTCCATTGAATGTGTAGGCGCAGCATCTGATGGTACACCTGACTCATCTACAAGTTCATTTGCAAGTTGGAGCAACTAGCAAACAAAGCCACAGAAGTGCAGAACTGGGTCATTACAAGTCCGCTGCGCCCTAGTGAATTAAGATATCATGGAAGTTGAATCGCAATAAACATGAAGTTGACTTTGCTAAATAAGATCATGCATCAGGCACTTATCAACCTAAAAGAACTTCAGGTTTGTATTCTTAGTTTTTTCCTTTTCTAGATTCTCACAAACATCGAAGACACGGAACATTACCTTGAGCTTATCTAAAATATTTATTAAGTGTGAGAGTCGTCCCTTAGCATGAGTATCCATGAGCTGGTTGTATTCCTCGGTAGGAAGTTCTGAAAGCACCTTAGTTATCATGTTATCGATCTTCTTGGCTGATCCCACAACTTGTAGAAAGAGATCGACAGGCATTTCATTTATAGCTGCTGCCATCGAAAATAACGGAGATGATTGATTAAGGTCCTTGGCATGCTGCCCTTCTTCAGCATAACCAGCTGGTATGCAGCAACCTGGCAAACAACTAACATATACCCACAGAAATATGTGGAACAGCTTCACCCGGATCATTTTTGCACCTATAAATCCATTGGCATGCATAGCTTCTATTATTAACGGTTTGTTATCTTTAACTCTGCGTGAAATCCTCAGACCAGGCATGGCTGTCTTATGTTGATTTTGCTTCAGTTTAGCTGCTGCACCAGAACGAGTTTCAGTGTCAAAGTTCCGCTGCCTCATCCTAATTTGATCAACAAGTTCTGGTGATAAGTCCCCAACAGAAGAATGAAGTATTACATCAATGAGACGATTGCGGGTGTAGTTTGTAACCAAAGGGACACTGACTTTGATACATTTACAGCTGCCCTCTTGCTGAAGCTTATTCAACGTGCGAGCCAATGTTTTCCTATCCATCATTTTGCCATTTTCCTTCTCAAGTCTCTCTAACCATTTATGTAACTCCACCTTTAGCACAAATTTCTTTTTCTGCAAAGGAAAAAAAAAGGTGCAAAACAATGAAATGCAAGAAGACATTCAGGAGTGCATGAACATGCATGGACATGACCGTGTGTACACAAAAGAACAAAAAATGATGTTACTTCTTGCAAGTCCTACTAAGATAACTATGAAGTGCTTTCATTTATTACAAATAAAAAAATGAAGAGGAATAAATAAATGATAAACATGAAACATTAAAAAGAAAGAAGGATAATAGTCTTGTACTGGTACCATAGAGCTGTACTTCCCAGATAGAAGCATGCTGGTATAAGGAATATTAAGGCCAGAATCCACAGGCTGACATAGTTTTACATGGGATAATGTAGCCTCCTATAAGCCATTCTAGTTTATCAGCATCACCAGAAAGCATTTTACCATAGATATACACACCTACCTGTTCATTTTTACAATTTATCGTGAAATTCTGGTGGTTTTTATTGAAGCATGACATATTAGAGAGGCAATGCAACCATCCCAATATCACATGACACATGGGATACACAGGGACACAGCCATATCAGTCTATCACCTACAGTGACGCCACAGTAAGGAAAGAGGGAAGCTATTGTTAAGAAAGACGGAGAGAAACCAGACGAGGCTGTCTGCTCGATCCCATTCGTCTGTGGCTGCTGACGTGTCACGAATTCAACAGAAATTCGTGAGAAAATGAGATAAATGAACCCTACAAGAGTGTCTTAAGATGGTAGAATGATTTATAGATGAATCAATGGACCCGAATAACTTAATAGGGTGGTAAGTGACAAAAGGAGTGACTTCTAGGGAAGGGGTTTGGGTTTCTTTTTCACTAAAAGAACTCTTAATGAACACATTTCAGCAGTTTCAAATGATTAGTGCACGAAATGAATAGATAATTTAAGTCCTATTAAAAAGGGTAAAATGAGAAGGGGATTTTGTGGCTTATGATACAATTGCTGAAGACAACATATTGCACAAAGTAACACTTACAATTAAATTAATTTAATTGTAATTACTAGTATTTACAGAAGCATAGACCATGTTATGTTCCTGTAAATTGTAAAAAAAAAGTGCATGAAAATGGTTACAATACATAAACTGAGCTCATGTTTGCAAAAGCGATGCAACTAAAGGTACGCAAGTAGGACACAGACGATGTTAATGTTCTTGTGAACTTGTGAAGTGCATCAAGTCAAGAGCGAGCGTTACTTCATGCCACAGATCAAGCACAGTAAAAGCAGTAATTTAGAGCACATTTGTATTTGAACAGATGGTTCATATGAAAAAAAAAACTGATTAACGAATACTTAGCAAGCACCTTCAACATGTGTAGAATCCTTCTCTGTCGTCGATCATCAGAAGTTGAAGGGGGGCACCGATGCTTCTTCCGACCCAAAGCAAGTTTATCTAAAAGAGAAGAGAAAACATGTGATTATCTGCATTTAACTGACCAGTATTTCCTCTCTACAACCCATATGACCTAAACATGTGGTTTTGTGCACTCTACACATTTTAATAACGCATCCATGTATTTTGAGGTTCATTTTTTGTAATTTTCTACCAACATTTATTCAGAATGGAAATAATATATAGGTTGACTGGCACCAAAACGGTACCAGTAGATTTGCATTTCAAAGTTCTTTTCACGATCATGATTTTGCCATTACTAAAAAAATGTTCTGTGAAATAAATTAATGGTCAAGATTAAAGAATACCATAGACCATTCTAAGTCAAACTGTGTCTTAGAGAAACAATGGAGAGGCTGAGAGGGTACATACAAAAAGGGCAACAGATAAATAAAAACAGGAAATATTTTGTACACTCAAGGTTGCTGCAATACTTATTGATTGCAGACATATTAGGTAAGAATTCCCTAAATGTTGCAAACGTGTGAAAATCATGAAAGAAGTTTTGAACTATCTGAAAATTTTAGGGTAAAGGGTGTTCGAAATTTCATAGTATTCAGTGAATATAGATTGCATAGTGTTCACAGAGTATGTCTTTTTCATATCACACAAATACAATGGATTGTGATCTTGAAATTTTGTATGTTTGTAGAATATACCCTTCCATATGTGATAATTTTGGGAACTCATGCACATGATTTTGTTGGATCTATGAGTGGACATAACTCAAAGCTGTGGAAGCCAATCATAATTAAAATTTTGTGGAAAAAATAGTGAAATACCATAAAGCTTTTACGGCAGCTTGCAGTTCACAAACAAATGTAAAGCGCAGAGAGAATACACAGTTAGCGACAGGAATTTAGATTACTGTACCTTGTTTAACTAGTTGGGAAACTCCAACACAAGCTTCATGGCTGCTTTGGAGAGAATGTCCAACTGGCTCATCATGGCATTCCGCTTCATACAAGAGTTCATTATTGTTGCCATGAGAGCTATGAGAATCCAATCCACTAGATGGAACTAGTGACCACGAATCGGAACGCTTGACATGATCACCTGGGAGTGCCTCAAAACTTTGCAGAGCAGTACCAGATTTGTAGTGCAAAAAGTCTTTTGAAGTCCAAACTCGGTACTGAGATGTCTTATCTGAAACTTCAGCATCCCAAGTCAAATTGAATCTTTGGCGCATGGATGACACTCTTTTATGAAGCCTTCTTGAATTCTTATGCCCAAGACGTTTGCCAAGCTGGTTGTGTGTAATATGAGAACACAAGTTACTAATTTCAGGAAATACAAATAACTAATTTGCCACATTAGATGAGATAAACAACACCAATGTGTATTACATAATGATGTGCACTAAAGATGCCTTGTATATTCACCACCAACAACACATTGTTGGGTTCATAGTGCAAGGACGTTTTGTGGCATGCAGCTAATTTTTCATTAGAAACCACAATCAGAAGGTTATTGTATTGGCAAGAATGTTATGCCATAAAGAAAAGATCATGTGTCATTTTTAAGTTTTGCAGTAAATGAAATTTCAATAAATAAATTCGTTAAGGCCATGCAGTTAGAAGCAAAAAAAGAAGTACTAATATAGGCACAAATACGCCTGCTAATAAAACATTAAGACACATGTTTATGTCCAAGTATAACCAGAATTCTGCCAGTAGTGCCATATGACACTATGACTAAAACCTTTTAACAGCTGTGGGTAGCAAACTAGCAATAGATAGTCTGCAGGCCATTATACACGTTGTATTCCTGATAGTGCAGATGTTGAACTACAGCTATGATTATTAACACTGGAAGTCCTTTTGAACTGGACAATGGAAATTCTCACTTCCTTGAATATGGATTATGGGGATTTGTCATAACGATAATGCAGACCATATAGGTACTGAGAAAGATATTTAAGTGGATGAACACTATCCAATCTGTTGTAGCACATCAAAAAAATAAGTTTAAAACCAAAGTAAGCTGTAAAAGTTTGTTTTCAGGAGCTTGTCCTATCTTGACGTGGGAAATTACTGATGTCCTCCAAGTTGCTAAATTAACTAAGCAGTTGCTAAAACAACCAAATCTGTCAACATTTCAATCTGGTTTTGACTCGTAACCAGATTCAAGTATTCAACTATCAGAGAAAAGCAGTACTCCTGGAAATGAAGCAATGTGTCAAAGCTATGAAGGAATGTAGCGCACTGTGTGGTGCTGTTGGAAGGTTCAGAGAAGTACCTCGACAAGGGTTATACCTTTTGACCCTTCAGCTTTGATCATATCATATATACAGTTCTCTAATGGAAGCTCCATAACTTGATCAGTTGCCTGGCGTTTCTCGCCAATTTTGTAGTCTTGGGTTGTACTTTTCGACTGGAACTCAACTGGATCAAATTTCTTCAGCAATCGTAAACAGCGAACAACCTGAAAAGGGTCTAGCTAGTTCATTAACAAAGTATGCAAAAATATAACAAAGTAATAGAGTACAGCAGGGCGGAGCATTGCAGTTGAATATTCTGCAGTCTTATGCCAAATAAATTGTGTTCTTGCAGCTCTGAAAGAAGCATTGCAATTGGAGAATGCCCAAAAGGTGGATGGAACTGCTTGAATTAATAAGGCAGTTCGTAATCACTAAGGCCATTCATAAGCTGTCTATATATGGTTTTATTGTTGTTACATATGTATGAGTTGGAGGGCAGGCCTGGCGCAGTGGTGAAGTCCTCCCCACTTGTGCCAAGAGGTCCTGGATTTGAACCAGCCTCTCTGCATTGCACTTTGCAGGGGTAAGACTAGGTTCCTATAATCCCTCCCCAGACCCCACCTTGTGTGGGAGCTTCTATGCACTGGGTCTGTCCTTACATACGTATGAGTTCATAGTTGTCTATCCATGACTGTATCTGTCATGGTGGTGTCTCTAGTCTGGCCTTTCCTGTCTTTAAACTGGATAGTACTGTCTGGGCTCTGGAATCACCTTATGTGTTCTGCTTCTGTTTATTTGAGGAAATATGGACCTGGGGCTTGGGGGGAATTGAATCTTCAATCTAAAACAATATGCAAGTTTCCAGCAGGAACTGAACAAGGGAATGGAATAATGCTAGTAACAGTAACTAGTGCCACCTAGCACTCGAGCGTTATTGGAGATCCCAGGAAGAACAGACTTCCAACAGATAGATAATTTGCTAATTAGAGATTCATGGGCAACCACAAGAATGAACCCTAAAAAATATGAAATAATGGCATAAATAATAACTGAAAATAACAATGAAACAGGAGGAAACATTGACATCACCTTATCATCAACGTTGGCATCGAATTCTTCAACAAGCTGTGCATCTCTTAGCCTATGCAATACCTTAAGAAAAATACGTCTCAAAATACTCCATTAGGAAGGAAATAGGGAAATAGAGAACATCTGCAGTAACCAATAATAAACAAACCTACATTTCTCCATGCTCTGTGTCCATATGCCATCTTGTAATCCGGATCAACTTTTATATCTGATACAACGAAAGCCTAAAGGGAAATAATTGCCCCAGGTTAGCAAACGTGCAAATCAGAAACAAATAAAACAGAGTATCAAAATGGAAAAAGAAGAGAACAATTGACCTTTCCACTGGCATTTTCAAGTTTTTCACATATGGCTTCCATTGCTGGAAGATAATCATGAACAGATATGTCATTCTTCAAATTTACAGCCAAAGCTCCATCTTCTTGCAAAGCAATGTTGGTCTCTTCATTGCTCCCCAGTAGTTCAGGTTTTGTAATCTCAATTCTTTGTTGTGAATTCATATTCATGTCTTTGGCATATCGGGACAGATATAATGAGTTGGTGCTAATAACCTGCTTATTATGTGAAACCTCTTCCCCCTCAGCCCCATTGTCTTTCACCTTTATGAGAGCTGATTGTCTAACTATCAGCCGCTGTGATACAAGGCTTTTTACAACAAAATGGAAGTTGTTTCCTTTCATGTGAAATTTTTTGCATAGATCATTCTGTGTTACACCAACAGTCCTATTATGACAAAAGGTAAACAAATATCGCAGGCGTTATTACCAAAGTCATGATATCTTGTTGCCAATTTGCAAATTCATATATTATCGCGAAGAAAGATAAAAAAAAGAAAGCAGTAGCAATTGTGTTGGAGAATGTGGTTAAATTTGAAAAATGAATTTTATGCTACCTAAACTTGATAAGTGAGAGCAAGTAGTCCTGAAACTTTTAGCGGCCAAAGGGAGATGCCATGCCAACTTTTACCAGATCATATCTATCACTTGACTTGGTTAAACTTAAGACACAGGCTTTAAACCCCTTAAAACGTCAACTGAACCTGCCATTTGACATGT